AGACCAGCTGGAGAAATCTTTGGGATCGCCGAAATCGAGGCATTAACCTTCAAAGAGTCAGATGGGGAACGATGGCGAGGCAGGCCGGTCAAAGAAAACAGAAGACACGAGAGATCACTCTATTCGAGAGAGCACGCCGATATCGAGGTGGGTGGGAAGCATTGGAACGGGGGTCTATGGTTGCAGGCCAGTAAGGATCAAGCGCCCTTACCGCGCAACTTTTGCGTCGAAGCTGGAGTGATCTGGTAGGTAGGGACCTTGCAATTTCCCTCGCAGAATCCTTCCCACAATTCGGGCTAGTCCCGGAGGTTTGCCTTTAACGACTATTGTGGAAAAGTAGAAAAATAGAAAAAAGATGTCATACTACATGCCCATCGGAATGGGAATCGGCAGTAGCTATTAGAGCACTGATTTGTGGCAAATCCTTGCCACGTTTTACAATCCGACAATGCACAATATTTAGCGCAGTACACGCCAGGAACCCCCCGTCCACCAGAAATAGAGACCTAGCCGTACCGAGCGCGTAGCGTTTCTCCTCCTGGGGTCAGGTCACCTAAAATTGAGACATCGTTCATTCGCTCGGAGCAACCTTCGGACTAACCAGGAAGGTCTTTCAGGGCGTGACAAGCTTTTTGAAAACGGTCTTTTGCATGATATAGGGGCACATGCGGGAACCACAGAACCATGGTTAATTTTTCCTGAACGGCCCTCTGAATACCAGAAAAGGGGTCCCTAGTTCGATTCCTCGTGGTGACAAATTTTTGCATTTCGAGTTGACGTTTCAAAATTCGCGCAAAATGGAGTTAGCATGAATAATTAGTACCATATTCATGATTAGGACCGTCAGTAACCCTTACAAATAGACTTTGATTAAAAAACTGGTGAAAAAGGTGTGACACCACAGTGGGGCTGCTTGGTGTCACACCTCTTACACCAATTTTTAAGTCAAAGTCTTTTTGTAAGGGTTACTGACGGTCCTAATCATGAATATGGTACTAATTATTCATGCTAACTCCATTTTGCGCGAATTTTGGAACGTCAACTCGAAATGCAAAAATTTGTCACCACGAGGAATCGAACTAGGGACCCCCTTTTCTGGTATTCAGAGGGCCGTTCAGGAAAAATTAACCATGGTTCTGTGGTTCCCGCATGTGCCCCTATATCATGCAAAAGACCGTTTTCAAAAAGCTTGTCACGCCCTGAAAGACCTTCCTGGTAAGCCTTGGCCCAGTCATACGCTTAGGCATAAGCCAATGAGTACGTCGCACGTCTCTCGGCCGTGCCGTTTATCGCTGATTGACGAGGCAGTTTTTACAGAAAGAGTACACCGCCTTCTTGAAATTCCGCACCTTGACATACTTTGCTTAACTCCTTCGCCTTATCTGATCTTCCACTAGTCCCACCCACGATGGGCGGTAGCGTGCGCCGCCCAGCAAGAATTTTTTTTATTTGGTCCCAGAACAGCCCAAAAACCGAGAATATGGGAGATGTTATGTAGCGTGATGCCAGGTCGTAATTAGAAGTCCCACCCTCAGCAAGAGGAGTCTCTAAATGGACGGTGCTTACTGAAAATCAATATGTCGGCTATCAAAAATCTTTGAAGCAAAAAACCGTGTCCTAAAGGTAATATATGTATGGGTGTACAATGCACACTTGGATTCTCGCCCATAACGGTCAGAGCGTGTCTCCGACTGGTCACAGTTTTTTTTTACCAATTATAATCCTTTTCCAAAAAACCAAGACCAGGGAAAGTGTATAGAGCAACACGAATGAAAACCAATGAACGCTAATGGTGAGGGAACGAAATGGGCGAGCTTCCCATAATACCTGATAATTCGCAGTGCATGAGTGCACATTTTGCTAACACGTATGCTTACTGTTTGGGAGTGCATTGGTGTCTGCGACTCTAGATGTCTCTAGGGCTCGCTCACTGCCAGTTACAACCCCCTAACGTTCTTGCTCAATCTCCTAGATGCAAAAATGGAAACAGCCTTCCTGTGGCAGACTTATTAACTCAACTGAAGGATGAACATCATTTTCCAACTAACCACGCGTAACATTCCTTTGAAGGAAGAGATACGGTAAAGAGGGTGCACATCGGGGAGGTACACGTCACACGAAGCAGTAGCTTGGCTGCCAAAGAAGCGATGTGTAGGCCTTCTACTATGAAAGGAAGGCGGGTGCTGTTGCGTTTGAAAATCGCCCCGCTCCTTGAGCGCTCCACCCACTAATATACAGGGGGGGGGGCAAAAAAAGACATTTTGCCCATGTCGCACTTCGGCCTTTTTTCTTCGCAGAGATTGCCGTCGTTGACGGAAGTTCCTCAGCAAATATTCCCTAAATGTCCCTCTATAAGTACACGCAGGCCCTCCTTCACTACCCTCACCGTCTTCAGAATATGACGTCATCTGTCACCGTCGTCGAGCTCAGGGAGGCCTACAGTAACTGCTTCAGCCTGAAGCTCTTACATAATTTCTTGGATCGATTCAACGTGGGATAGTTTCCTAGGGACATTAGCTCTAACTATGCAAACCCCCTCGGAACCCGCCCTTCGGAACCCGGAAAACCTGGAAAGCTTTGAGCTGAGCAAAGTGTGATTAAATCCATTTGAGTCTGGAGACAAAATGACTTTTTTATTGCCCCCCCCCCCTCCTGTAGATGATGATTTTGGCGAGCTGTATTGCCAGCAGCGACACATTGGAGCAACTCTACTGGAGCATGGTTTCGCATGATGCCATCAAACGCGTCACGGTAAACTCCTCTGTACCACCGTCTTGGCCACTGTAAGCCCATGATGGAAGATCAGCGCAAACAAGGGAGTTCGCTTTGGTTTCTTGACAGATTTCTCTGCTTCTCGACGCTGACGTATCATTGAGCACCTCACGTACCCTCTGAACCCCTACGAAACCTATCGCGATCGTTGCCTTGAGTCGATGAAGTCGCTATTGAGGTTACGACTGCACCGCTCATTTCCTGTGTGACTGACTAATGAATAAATGAATACACTGAGGAGGCAACCTTTAGCAGGATGAAAAGTTGGCCGGCTTACAATTAGACATGATTATTAAAGGACACTCAGGCGTTCTGTGAACGCGCACAGCTTCCAACCACGCTTGCAATGGTTCCTTGTACCATCAAAATAATCTTCCTATCAATTCTACCTGTGAATCAAGATCCACCATCAATGAAGGATGCCGTTGTTGAAGAACACCTTTGAGCAAGAAATTGGCTCTAAAAAATTCAAGGATTAAGCATGACGTGCGAAGTTCATCCAAGATAAAGAAGAAAAACCTATTGCTGGCTCGTCGTTGAGCTTCAGTCCCCGTATCATCAGTGGTCAAAATTTCTTCCTGTAGTCGACGGATGAGCTTCAGAGGTCCTTTGTACTTCGCGATCTTCAACGCGTAAGTAAAATGAGTGAGCAAATTTCTGATAATATTGTTTAATGAAAATTCACTCACAATGGACTTGATATCGAGATCAAAATGGGTCCTTATAGCGTACTTAACAACATCTGACAGCACCTGCAACAAGCGCAATGAAAAAAAAAGAAACAGCAGTGGTGAAAATTTTGAACACATTGACGAGAGCGTAATTCATAAGTAAATGACGTTTTTCTGGCCGCCAGGAGAATTGTGATTTATATTCCAAAACCGCCCATGAAAGTCTTCTCCACGAATGCGCAACTTTTTTCAAGACTTTTATATTTATTTTACAGATCATGTCTGAATGCGCTCCTAGAAATAGTGGGGAAAGTTGGGGGTTCACATAATGTTTGATATTATCCAACTCTGCAAAGATTCTCTGATTGTTCACGAATTGCACAACTCGCGTTTTTTTTTTTGATGAATCAAAAAACACTTTGAGCAAATGCACCAGATGCTGATCAATGGCTCTTTTTCATCTATGGATTACTAGATGATGCTTCGCACCGCTAAACCATGACAAAGATTCTCCTCTGCTAGAAACTTTTCTTCGGCACTACTTACGCTTTACCGCGTCACGCCTCCAAAACTGAGCTGTATTTTTATCGAAATTTTTACATGAGTGACCACTAGAAAGTGCCTCCAGAGGTACTTTGACTCATGGAACACAACGACCGCACTCGATTGGGATAGTTTGACTCGTAATGAATATCACATTAGTTCGTTGCGAGTGAGCTTGTAGCCTGCGCTACGGGCGCCCGGCGCAAAACTGTTGTGATAGGCGCCGGCGCCTGTGGCGCGGGCGCCAAGCGTTTTCGCGCCGAAGTGATATGATATTCGGGTCCTACCGATTGAAATACCCCTGGAGACGGATTTCTAGGCTAATCCAATCATGGAAAAACTCGACTAAAATCGGGCTCAGTTTTTGTAGAGTGGAGCAGTGAATGATAATACTGTCACCACTTCTTTCCTGAAACTCCACAATGAACACTGATTCATTCACTGTTTCTACACATGTCCTTCTTAATTTACCATCCCCTGCTATTCAGAGCCGATTAAGACTGCAAGAGAATTCCTTAATACTAACTATTATCAACAATGCCAGGTAGTGAAGCACTACCCTACAGGAGGCCCGTTGCGCGGCAAGAAGGCAGAATCAGCGGACGAGTCGTACTGTAGTGATTTCGCGTCAAGTTAAATAGTACCATTGCACGTCCTACATCGCACATCACGCGCTGCGACTCGTCCGACGACTCTGCCTTTTGTCGCGCGACGGGCCTCCTGTCGGTACCCCGTAAAATACCTTACTAAGCGTGTGTTTACTCTAATAAACTGTTTGACACTTTTCCATACGCACCGATTTGATAAACCGACTACTTTCGCTTCTGCTTCGTTAGCTTTTCGGATTTCGAAAAAAAAACGCGCTTCACGGGACAGCGAGATTCAGATGTGTCACGACGGCAGCATCCAAACGCGCCCGTACCAGAAAAACAAAATGCAAAAATGCGTGCTGTCATCAACGTGCTGACACAAATACCTTCGGCATTCTAGCTTGAGCCAGTGGCAGAACGTCGTCGAATGTAGCATCAAGTATTACCGCTTTCACTTCTGAAATGAAATTACTGTTTCGCAGAAACATCCACTAAAACCAAAACAGTGAAATTCCAGGTCCCAAAAAACAACATATGTAATCACAATCTGACAAAGTACAATAGATGTGTTCAGTAGGTAAAAAGAACCGAACATACGGTGTAGACCAATTTGCTTCACTTTCAACGCTGAATTCTCAAGCTTTACTGAACTTTATTGCTAACAATACCATTCTAAAAATCCACAGACACTCGTAGTGATTAGAGCTTTACGCGACCCACATCACATAATTTTGGTTAACGAACACGATGTCTGACCAGGAAATGTTTTTGACTTCCCATGGAACTTTGAAAGGAGACCTATGAACATCGATAGAGTTTGGACGCTGATTACAAATATGGACACTAAAACTGCTACGTGAACTTTATAAGAAAGTTACGAGCATTCAAAGTTGGCAAAAAACGTTACTGAGGCGAGCTCACCTGATGAAATCACGGATGCTTTTTGTCTGGTTTCTTGTTCTATAAGGGTTAGTGGGTGCCCTGATTACGAATTTGATACTCGTTTTTAGCGCAGAGCCACGGCGAGCGTGATTCCATCAGGTAAGCCTACCTCAGTAACGTTTTTTGCCAACTTTGAATGCTCGTAACTTTCTTATAAAGTTCACGTAGCAGTTTTAATGTCAGTGAGTCCAGTGAGGTCTTAAATGTTCTGATGGAGCTGCCCTTTCAGGTCCCAAATACTTGAGGTTCCGAGGAGTTTCTAAGTACCATGAACCGGCACTCAATTCTCTTGGAGCACCAAGTTTCAGTTGACGGACAGACAAAATGCTGTGAACATCAACGTTTACCTTTACCCAAATTCCATGGACACGAGACCAGCCCTACCACTCCATATCCATTCTCCCGCTCACACCCATACCAGTGGCCGCTCTCGCTTTGCATTGGATTCGCGGACCATGACGACATTGCCAGCACTGCAGGTTTCTAGTGGTCTTACAATGAGGGCCGCGTCTCCAGAAAGCTGTCCATGAGCTGTGTGTGTTCGTTTTATGTGCCATTTTAAATCGGCCTATCGTTTCGACAAATCGTCGTCTTCGGAGGCCTAAATGTAGTTCAAGGTTGGGGTTTACATTCTACTCCACCAAGCGCCCCATCCGCTCCCCGACGTCCCGTCAGAAAACCCTACAGAGAAAAATAACCAAGTGTGATACTCAACTCACCCGGCTCTCCATAAGGATCTCAAGCAGGAAATCACGCAAACACTCTAGACGGGAGGAAGTAATGTAGGCCCCAGCGTAATAACTTCGTATAG